CCATGTCATCTGGTCCATGGAGCTGCCCCTGGGTCCAGAAATTTGGCAGTAGGGGAGTGGCAATTAGAAGAATTCAGCTGTTTCCCTTCTGCCAAATTTCTGGACTAGGCTGGATGACATGGCTCCATCATTGAGCACCACTGTACTAGATGCTTCAGGGAAATGTACAAGAAATCTTGCACTATGCTATGGTGGGATAATCTACTAAAATCCTTCCTAGCACCAGGCAGACAAGGTTCCTTGGGTGAATTTGATATCTTTTATTAGACCAACCCAAATAGTTGGAGAATAGTTATTAAGCAAGTTTTCAGGTTCAAAAACCCTTCATCAGGCTAAGGAAGTTTCAGCAGTTGGTGTGTGCTCTTCCTGGATGGAATAAAAAGTACCTTGCATTTAGTGGCTAGCCTAGAGCCCTGAGGGGTTATAGCTCTCCCACTTTTAAGAAAAATATCCAATCCAACTAGTATAGCTCTGCCTTCTCTCATTAGCTATGCAGACAACCAGCTCTTTTGTGAATGCCAACAAACTCTCGGCCTCAACTAGTCCATTAGCAATAAGTTCCTCGGCTAATTGCTCCCTAAGTAGAAATACACCAAATATTTCCTTTTTGGTCTGTACCTTTCCGAGGAAAGCTAATCTTCTCTGAAACTGACTCATACAACTGCGTTTCTTAGGAAATAGTATCAGACCGCACACAGACATACACTGTGTAAGCTATTTTCCATCTCTCTAGGCTACAACTATATTCCTACTGCAAAGGGTTGCGTTACGAAATGCAACAATCTTTCTAATGCTCTTAACAAACAGTTGCCTCACTCAAAGCTCAGACTTAAACAGGACAATGAATCAGAATCTAAGGGACCCTCCACTCTTTTCTTGGGAGATTTATCATGGCTTGCTGCTAGTAATAAACAGAGGTAAGGGAAGATGATGTCCAGACCTTCAGGTTGTTTGTCCTTAATGCACACTTACTATTACACAGCAAGTGTGAGTATCTCCATTTGTATTGCTTTTTGCCCTTTGGAGTCAAGCAATTTGCCTGAAATGATGTGGTAACAGCACACAGGATAAATACATTGTCTTTTATCAGACACTATATAGAGGAGAGATCACAAGGGGCCAAGACTGATCAAAATGGCTCCAACTCTAAAAGCAAATGTAGTTAAACAGGAAACAACATAAAATCTATGGTTCTTTAGGCTTTGGATAACTGAAGCTAATCTAATCAGACTGCAGGGATACTTGGTGGCCAGGACATGCTTTATATATTTCTCCAGTGTTCTAATAACAGGCTAAGAAAACACTGACAGGTTCTGTTCCTACCATACTTCTTACTATCTCAATTTTGACTTCATTTGAAGCAGTGCCACAAGGGAACCTTTATTTATTGGCTGCCCTCAGAAGCTTCTTTTAAAGAGAGACTTTCCAGCTTTGAACAGGAAGGTTGAGGGTTGCCCAGAATAAGTTAAGGTAGTGTGTTCTATTCTAGATAGGTCCTTTTGCCAACTAGCAGCAAGCCACTAGCACCCTGCCTTAACTTATTCACACTGCCTTAATTTATCCATCACTGGGTCAGCCTCAGATTCCCCTGAAATTTGGTGAGAGGGGGAAAAATGATCCTCTAGTGGCTTGTTCCTTCCTCTAGCTCTTTCTGGGTACCCCAATTACTCCTCACTATCATAAAATGCTCCAAAATTTTCATATCTTTGCCTTTATGACCCTCCTTCCCCCTACATCCACAATATCACAAATGCCAGGTAGCTCAGTGCTCAGGGAAACTGTGACACATGGTTAGTGGTGGCTCTTGGGTGCTAGTAACATGGCCAGTTGGTGGCAGTGGCAGCTATTATTTCCCACCCCCTAAGTTGATACCTGGAGCTGCTGACCTAGTTACCCAGCTTTAATTATATTACTGATGCCAGCACTTTTTCAGCCTTTAAATCTTCCAGAGTAATTTGAAGTTTCTAGCCAGTGCAAACTACAATGCTTGGATCTGAACACCTACTTTTTTTTCTGGAGTCTGGCTTGTTTGGCACTGAGAATTCAGTTCAGGTTCATCTTATTAGGAAGCAAATCTAATCTGCTCCTCAGCCAGTGGGTAACTAACAGCACTATTGGTATACTATCACCAGCACTGTTCTGAATAACGATGTGTTTTGCAAAGCAGTACCTAACAGAGCAGACAGTGTAAAATGCTTTTTGTGACAAGGATACTTGTTCATGCTTAAAATAAAATTCATGCCAGCCTTTTTATTCACCATCTGCAAATTAGGAGCATTTATTTGTGTTATGGTAATGCCTCAGGTCCCAAATGGAAAACAGGCCTGGTTGTGTTACACTCTGAACATATATTTAATAAGAGAGAAAACCTTTCCCTGAAGTGGATGACACCAAGCTGGGGCTGTAGTCAATACGCTGGAGGATAGTACTAGGATTCAGAGTGAACTCAACAAACTGGAGGATTGGACCAAAAGAAATCTAATGAGGTTCCTTACAACAAGGATAAGTGCAAAGTCCTGCACTTAGGATGGAAGAATCCCCCTGCACCGCTACAGGCTTGGGACCAACTGGTTAAGCAGAAGCTCTGTAGAAAAGGACCTGGGGGTTACAGTGGACAATGAGTTGGATATGAGTCAGCAGTGTGCCCTTGTTGCCAAGAAGGCTAACAACATACATGGCTGCATTAGTAGGAGTGTTGCCAGCAGATCAAGGGAAGTAATTATTCTCCTCTATTCTGCACTGGTGAGGCCACATCTGGAGTACTGTGTCCAGTTCTGGCCCTCCCACTTCAGAAAGGATGTGGACAAGTTGGAGAGACTCCAGCAGAGGGCAACGAAAATGGTTAGGGGGGCACTGACTTATGAGAGGCTGAGGGAAGTGGGCTTATTTAGTTTGCAAAAGAGAAGACCGAGGGGGGATTTGATTTAGATTTCATAGATTTCAGCCTTTAACTACCTGAAGCATAGGCAATGCATAGGGGAAGTATGGGTGGGCACGTACCCTCCTGAGATTGGCTGCTGCCAATGCTGCTGTTGGTGTCTTGCCATCCCCTGCCTCCCCTGCCACCAACACCACCACGGTCGCCTGCGGGTCATCCCCGCTCAGCCCGCCCTTGCCACCACCATCACCGTGGCTGCCTTCAGGTGGTCCCCACTCGCCGCTGCCATGCCTCCCGCTGCCAACACCACCACCACTGACTGCAGGTGGTTGCTGTGCCCCCCCAGCCTCAGGAGGCATGAGTCATTCATGACCTGAAGTGGGTTCCAAAGAGGCTGGAGCTAGACTGTTCTCAGTGGTGGCATATGACAGAACAAGGAGCAATGGTCTCAAGTTGCACAAATGAAAGTTTAGGTTGGATATTAAGAAAAAACTCTCTCCCTAGGAGGGTGGTGAAACACGGGAACAAGTTATCTGGAGAGATGGTGGAATCTCCATCCTTGGAGGTTTTTAAGGCCCAGCTCAACAAAGCCTTAGCTTCAATGATCTAGTTGGGGGATAATCCTGCTTTGAGAGGGGGATTGGACTAGATGACCTTGTGAGGTCCCTTTCAATCCTAATATTCTATGATTCTATGAAAGATCTGTCCACTGGAGCTGCAGAGACATACAGGTTCATAAGAAACAAATGCCAAAGATGCCATGGGGAATATTTGTGAACACAGAACTTCCCATTTACAAGTGCAAAGCTCTTTCTCATGGTGCTTCTTGCTTCATTCAGTCAAGGAGCAGACACACTACTATGCCAGTTATGTGACCAGTCATGACTAATCTATGCAGTTCACATTATGTGTATTGAATGTTTATCATAAGTAACCCTTTGAGTTAAAAAAACAAAAAACAAAAACCCCCAAAGATATATCCACCAAAGGCATTTAAGTAACCAATACATCAGAAAATTTACCATCTATATTTTATTTGAGCAAATCTGGCATCTGCTGTTAATGTCAGGTTGGATATACACACAAAAACATCCTGGATAGTGACAAGCATAGATAGATGCACAGATTCTAGCCAGGGGGTATAGTTATTCCTCCAAGCTCACTTCCCTTTCTAAAGACAAAGTCTTCCTCTGTGCACTCTCTAAAGTCCAGACTGAATAGAAGCAGTTTGTGATAACAACATTGTGACAATAGCAGGAATGATTATCTTGCTACCTAA